TCAAATAGTTATTATTTTTATTTAGTGTTGCTCAGTTTTTGCTTACCCTTTTATACTGAGTGCCAGACTCAGGTATTGAATTTACAATCACTATGTCACCAAACCAACTAATCCACTGGGCCATTGTCCTGTAGTGAACTTGGATACCTAAACCTACCTACTGCTGATTAGAGATGCAGCTGAGGCTGTGACTGAAGACATTTGTTTTTCTTTATTTATTAGAAGCTCCCATTTTTTATTTATTTTTATAACAAGAGATCTTCATAGCCTATCATATACGCTGATTTTTTCAGTCGTTTAACTTTATAGTTTTCTTCTTTGTCCAGTGTTTTCACTTCATTCTACAGTGGATGATGACTACCTCTTTCCCTCTGTACATGATCAGCTACGCCCAATTTCATTGCCTCGCTCCTCACTACGGCTTTCCGATGTTCCTTCAGCCTTACTGTTATGAAGCCACTTGTTTCACTTTTATTCTCTGCCACAACTGCACGGAACTGAGTACATGCAATTCTTGATCATATTCTCCCCCGTGTTAGGCATTACCCGCTAGAGATTTCTCCGTAGAGTGGAACTGTTTCTAAATATTGTCTTCCGCAGATCTAAGAACTAGACGATGTTCCTGCACACGAACAATGGAACGAGAACAGTTTAACCGTATAGATTAAATAAAGAATTCCCTGAAGGTTTTCCGGATCGATATACACCTCAAGAAGGCCGGAGGGCCTAACGGCAGAAACGTTGTGATAACAAAAATAAAGATGAGAATAGTCCGAATATAGATAGTCTGGATAAGGCTGTATATAAGTGTATATATTTTAATAATCTATTTGTTTTTTTTTATTTAATCCAATTTTTGCCAATATATATTTTATTTCATAAGTAAATTCGTTCCTCTGTGTTCGTACTAGATTCTCGATTTCGATATATGATTATCCACCAAATCAATAAGATCAGTATTTGTGCGCCATATATTTGAGTCCTGTCGGCTATTTTGCAGACAAGAGTACAAATATTTCAAGAGTAAGGCTTTTGAGACAACGTGGATGACAATGATAGTGACTCTTTTGTCCTTTGTTTTGTTATTCCCGTGGCGTCGAAGACGGACTGTTTCAAAGACATTGATACCAATGAAGCAACTAGCTCGTCGTGTTTTTATACCCGAGGCCAGCAGCTCAAATATCTTATGTGGGATGGTGACAGTTGCAAGATAGCTCTTAAATGTCAGCAATGGCGTATCTACATTTCTTTTTTTTTCCAGAGTGAAACTGTCTTTAGGTAAGGACCTTTAGCATCCTATCCACATTCGGTCTACTGTCATGGCCATCCAACCTCAATTGCGAATGTATGAGAAAAGATCAGCGTTCGATATCTACACATATATATATATTGTTATGGGACCTTACCCATAATAACATAATGGACTATTCCATACGTAATAAATACTGCGCCTCAAGAGGAAGCAGGGAGTTCAGTCTGAAGTCTGGAGTGAAGTCCGTCAGGAGTCCGTCAGTCAGTCAAAGTGAGCGAGTCAGTCAGTCGAGTTAGAGGCAGTCCGAAACAGAATCGCGTTTAGACAATTACTACTAAACCTGATTGTTCGGACGAACACTTTCTACTTCTCTGTATATATTCCTGTTTGTAATATATCTGTGTTATTCCATATCCGTGTTCTACCTTGGACTATCACCGTGGTACAAGGAACCGGACCATAACAATATATATATATATATATATGTGTGTGTGTTTAGGGTAGCAGATTTCATTGATATAAACTTGATTAAAAACAGCGAAATAACAGTATCGAATATAGGGAGTATTTTCTAAAGAATTAATGGGTTTATTTTTAATTTGGCAAGTTTTTAATAATAAAATAAGCACATATAGACTTTCGAGAAAAATCTGAATGAGGAAGAGTGCATTTGTTAAAAGGGAAAAATGAACCTTGTTATCGGTCTATCGGTTTTTCTTTCTTTCTTTTTTTTTTTGGTCAAAAAAAAAGAAAGAAAGAAAGAAAGAAAGAAAGAAAGGAGGGCACATCTTTGACCCCTGGCGGTGAGTACATTTTCTTTCTTAAATGCATAGCCCAATAGACGTAATACACACTGTTTAGCATAAATTCCGCACGTCGATGACAAATACTGAATTCTCTAAAAATAATGCTTTAATTAATAATATGAGTAGTACTTAAATAATGCATTGTCTTGTCTTGTAAAAAATCCATTTCGGGTTCATGTAATGTTTTATTTAAATTCCTCAAGGTTTCTCCGATGTATTCATTGTGGCAATTATTACAGGTGATAGAGCAAAGTATTCCTTCATGTTTTAGTTTATTCTTATTTTGTTTTGCATTAAGTCTTTTAGTATTCTTGTAGTAGATGTAAATCTTTTATTGTGTTAGTAGTAGTTGTAACATGTTATATGTTAAGCATAGATAAATTATATTCAATTTTAGTTGTGAGAGGGTTGGTAAGTAGAAAAATATATTTTGATTCGTTCGATTCATCAATATTGGGCACACTTCTATTTTGAAATATTTTACGACCCTTTTGTTTCCACTTTTTTCTCCGTCGGACATGACATAATTTGGGTATTGAAGGAACTTAAATTTATTTTCAATGTATTGCCAAGTGATATTAAATAGAATCCAATGATTATTCTGGATTTTATTTTGCTGTTATGGTGAGAATAGAAATTTATGAAATCATTTTATTAGTTGATTTACGATGGACAGTTTTAGGTCATTGTCATTTCAAGTAACATAATATCTAGGAAAGGTAAAATGTTTCTTTTTTTGTGAATGAATTCTATGTTTGTTCGACTTCGTTTAGTTTATCTACAAAGTTAGGCAGTTTGGCGGGGATATGTTAATAGAGCGTCATCAGTATATCTGAATTACGTTGATTGTTTAGGAAAATACTCTGTAAAGGATCAGATTCAATAAATTCTAAAAAATACACGCTTAAAAGAGACGAATCTATTGATAATCCAAATTTTTGTTCATTAAAATTATTGCTAAATAGCAAATAGAATTGATTGGTGATTAATCTGTAGATCTGTTGGCAGAGAGGTTTGTTTTTGATTGTGTGAGATGCTTTTTAAAAGATTTACGCATTTGTTAACAGTTACGTTGGTGTAAAGGGATTTAACACCAAAACTAGCCATGAGTTTATCTGTCATTATATATTCCCGTAGCTTTTTGACCAGGTTGCCTGAATTTTTAACATGCAATCGGTAGATTGTTCCTAGGGGAGGTGTTAAAATTTTTTATATGTCTTTCACCAGTTTTTGGCTATCAGTAATAATACCCGATATAACTTTCCTAACATTATTCTAAAAATGCATAGATCATTTTCTAAATATATACACACATAGAGAGGACCGAAATTAAATTCGTGTGAACCCATCACGCAGTTTTTAATGATATTGAACATTACTAGAATAATTACGACTTTCAGAGAATCAGTCACATTGGGGAAAGGTTGATTCATCCCCCGTTCAACAACGCCCCACATATAATCAAGGCGATTTATCTGAGAAGTTTAATGGCTACATCTCTGGTGGGATGTGGTCGTGCAGATTTGTCGCCATCGAGTCTTGAGCCACTACAGATTTGGGAGTGCCGCTAAAAACAAATGGTCTTCCATCGCATACAAATTGCGTGTAGGGCTTCACAATCATTTCCAGAAGTTGTTCTTCTCCCAGACTTGTTACCAACCACGGCCAGGGAACCCACCCTACTCTGCTATTTAATCTATATTGGGGGAAGATATGACTTCATAACTTTCTTAAGAGTATTAATGAGAAAAGAATTTAGCGAACTCGAACAGAATTCGAACACAGCAGATTGATTTCTCATTCCGAGTTGCTCCAATAATTAAGCAGATGACTAGGTAAACATTTTGCGTCTTAAGTCTTGCAAATGCGTATCCGCTTGAACTGAGCTTAACGCATATTATTATTGGTGTATCAGTGTCTTCCGTTTTGAGGAATTTCGCAAGTCTACAATAAAACTGAAGGTCTGAAAGTATATACATTCGTTCATGGACACGTTAATCAGCTAAAATCAAAGATTTTTCCAAATGAGGCAGAAAACAAATCTTGTGGAAGTATAAATCCAGAAAAATTTTGGCGCGGCCAATGAAATATGGCTGTTGATTGTTGATCGAAGACTGGGTGGGTGGCTGATGCATTGTGATGGATTAGCAAAGTATGCATCGATTTAACATTTCTGAAGTGTCATATTAATCTACTGGGAAATGTTATTCCGCGCGTCCCAACCAATTTGCCTGTGTCAGCTGGATGCATCGGCGGGAAAAGAGCGGGAATATGACTGATGTTACGATTTTGATGAATAAGACATTGATTGGTTGACAGAATGGAGATGAGGAGAGATAGATAGGTAGGGAGAATAAAGAAAGATCGACCAAGGAAGTTGGAGAGAAAGGAAAGAAGAGAAATTATTGGAATGATAAAAAAGGAGAATAAACGAAAGAGGAAAGAATACAAAAAAAATAAAGCATAGGGATGATAGAAAGTGAGTGAGTGAAAAAGAGAGAGCGAGGGGGGAAATAAAGAAGCAAACATCTTTGTCATGGCAGAAAAAGAGAGGAGAAGGAGTGTGTGTGTGTGTGTGTGTGTGAGAGAGAGAGAGAGAGATAGAAAGAAAATAAATGATGGAAAACAGATGGAATAAAAAGAAAGCGATAAAGTAAGAGAAACAGGAAGAAGAAGAAGAAAAGAAAATTTCAAGAAAAGTGAGAAGGAATGGAAGAAGAAAGACAGAAAAAGTAAGTGTAGAAGAGAGATAGAAAACGTGCATCACACCTCTCCCTCCTTTTTTAAACATGAGTAGAGGTCTATCCTTTGTTTCCTGTTTAGGAATGAATTTCCAGTTCATTCTAAAGTTTTCTCATTCGTTTTTAATCCGGCTATCCCCTTGCATCTTAGTGGCATTATCGCCTTGCTTAAGATGAATTGATTAAAAATAAGCGACATAATTAGTAAGAGTAAGATAGAAAGAATAAGAAGAAATGGAAGTGGTAGATAGATAGATAGATATAGAGAGAGAGAGAGAGAGAGAGAGGGGGTGGGGGGGGAAGGGGGACAAGAAGGTATATTGAAAAATGATAAAAATAGAAAAAGAGACAAAGAAAGCTTGCTGAAGGGGGGAGAGTGAAGTAGAAAGAAGAATGTTTGGAAGTGGTAGAGAAAGGAGAGAGAAAAAGAGGAAGAAAGAAGTAACTTTGGGTGGGAGTGTAAAGCAATTGTATGTTTGAAAGAAGTGCATGAGAGAGAGACAAATGCACACCGAGTGGAATATATAGAGAAACACACACACACACACACACACACACAGAGAGAGAGAGAGAGAGAGAGAGAGAGAGAGGGGGAATGTAGAAAAGTAGGGTGAGTAAACTTACGGGAGAAAATTATAAGTGGTTTGACAGAGAGGAGAGCAGAAAACTAAAAGCATTCAGTATGTACAAAAAATGAAAGGAGAGAGAGAGAGAGACAGAGAAATACACGGAGAGAGAGAGAGAGAGAGAGAGAGAGTGACACACAGACAGATCTATATATACATAAAGCTAAAGAGAAAATTCATACAAGTTTAGATGGGAAGATTAATATATGAATGAAAAGACAGCAATAAAGAGAAACATGCTCTCAATTATGTAATATCGATACGAATAGAGAAAACAGTAATGAAAAGACGAAAAAAGCATTTGACAGGCTTTGACCACGAAACCTAATGAAACGAAGATCCTTAGATAGGAATAGACTGAAAGTGATACGAATAGATTGAGATCTGAAGATATTAATAGTTTCGAAGAGACATGAGCAGATTGGGATCTCTAGATAAGAATAGTCTGAAAGAGACTTGAAAATACAGAGATCTGGAGATATCTTCTGCATGAATGTTTTGGATAAGAAATTATCATTATTTTCATTAGGTCTATTGTCAGAACCTTTGGTGTTATTATTACCACCTTCCGGTAGATGTGCGCTCCGACCTTAATTTTTCAATCCGGGTAACTTACAAGGAATTTCTAACTGAACCGTTAAGTTAATCTTTCTTTTTCTTTTTATGTGCTGTGTCGTTTCGGGGCTTAGGCGATCATGGCTCTCCACTTCCGCCTATCCCTTGTAGCTCTCATTAAGTTTTGTCCCACAGCCACCTCCCTCTGTTATCCACTTGTTCAAGCTCTCCAGGTATGTCATGCGTCGGTTTCCTTTCTCTTTTTCCCCCTCTATTCGACCTGTGATGATAAACTACATCCCCGTCCTGGGTAAGACGATAAACTACATCCAGCAACAAGGCTTCTGATCAGGAGGTTTTGAGGAGCGTGGAACCACCTCTTAATTGCTGGTGTTCTTAGGTCCACCCTGACTGTAAGTGTCCCAGCTATGGGTAAATAGTTAACCTCCAAACTGGGGTCAAAACACTATGAAAGTGTAAAAATAGGTTTTCATACAGAAATACTTTGTTACCAACAATAAACTTTTGAAAAAAAAATATTACCAGATATACATTTAAAAAAAAAAACATTCCAGCAATAAAAATCTTGTCGGAATTAAATAACCCATTGAGGCTGATATGCCGTAAAACAAACCAAAGCAAACCAAACCTTGTTTGCACCCTCTCCAAAACCTCACCGTTACTCACACGCTCGGTCCATGATATCCTCAGCATCCTTACTGGGGCTTATTAATATTACGATTAGATCTGAATCGACTATTATAGTGTAACTGGTGCATTAATTCGTTGGTTCTTGAGTTTAGTGACATAGTAATTGTAAGTTCAATCCCTAGGTAGGTTAGTGCAGATACGGATTCAGTGCAATCAGGGCGAACAATAACTGATGAGTACTAAATAAGAACAATATGAGATAGTCCTAGCCATGGACACAGTGGAAAGAGAACAATCTACTCCCAACTCCCGAGAACAATCTACACTCCCACCCCGAGAATAATCTACCCTCCCCATATCATATATATCGTTAGGACAATTATGACTATGTAGTGAGTTCGATCCTCACTAGGTGCCCCACACTTTCGGCCTTGTGCCACATCTAAACTACGCGTGAAAAATCACTATATAGTTAGATAGATTGCCAGTAAACCAAAATTACACACACACGCAAATATTTCTTTCTTAATTTATTGATTGAGAAATGAATGATATTGAAAGTTGATGTCAGATATTGAAATTTCGACCGCATGAGCAAAAAGATATGATTGAAAATATGAGAAAAAAAAACAAAACAAAAAAAAACTATTTGATGGGATGATAGATCCAGCAATAGAAAATATAAATTTTGTCGATGTAACGACATGCATTTCTTTTATTTGCGATAGTGCAACTCCCACCCACAAGGTTTATAGGAGTTGACAAAGATCAGTGTCAAAAAAAAAAGTGAAAGTAAAAGATTAGTGGAATGGATTTATGGAAAAAAAAAAAAAAAAAGAAGATCCATTGACATCGGGGAAGCTGTTTCACAGCTGATAACGACAACCATTTCAACTCTTAGAATTCGTGAGTAGATCAATATATCTGTAACCTAACATAGGCTGGGTTTTTATATGATATTCAAACTGTATAATGATCAATATATGTTTAATGGATAAACGCTGGATTAGGTGCATTGACAATGCAGAAGGATATCTTGTGAATAAATATTTGGTGCCTAAATTAAATGCATGCTAAGACATTAACTTACTAAATTAAGTAAAGTGGGAAGAAAGAGTTAACAATCAGTTTTAATGTTCGTCAAATTCACTTACTTTCAAATGTTCTTGGGAAAGATATGGATTCATCTGCTCCTCTCAGCTATGGGTTAAATAGTAAAACTTGAATTTGGAAAAAAATCATTTTTATTCCCAAAAATTGTTAACGCAATATTCACTCGCATAAAATAGAATTATTCTTACAATCCAAAATACATTTCGGTTTAAATAAGTTTCAAAGGGTTGATAAGCCGTAAAATATATATAATTTAATTATTTCTCATTTGTCAGATATTTGCCTAATTCTTGTCATTTATTTGACGGTAGGATTGCAAGATCAAACACTAAAGCAGGGAGGCCCTCCCCAGTTGGTAGATTGGTTCAGCTGTATTTTTATCACCCCATCCTTTAGTCGAGTTTTAGCCAGAAAAATCTAAGCTTAGTGGATATCTATATATGCATACGCAAAACTATATTAAATCTTTTTTTATAATAATTTCACTCCAAGCAAGGCGACAATGTCACTATGACGCAAGAGGTTACTGAGAGTGAAGAAGAATGAAAAGGTTTTAGTGAAGAGAAAGAACAATAAAAGAACTGGTTTCAGGGTGACAGAAGATGACGATTGATGTTGCATATAATCTTTTGATGATCGTAGGTAGAAGATGAACAAGAAACCTGGAGAGAGATTCACATACCCCAAGTGCGAGAAAATAAATTATTGAAATAGAAGTTATAGTTACATCAAGCTATTTCAAGTTTAAAATGATTCAACCTAGTTGTCAATCATAAATTCAAACAGTCCAGCTATCCACGGGAGAGTTCATTAGAACAATAGCCTTGAAAATACTTATAGAACAAGAGCCGAAGGGGAAATTATCTGGAGTCGAGATGCATTAAAATTACAAACATTCTTTGCATTTTTTCAAGAACATCGAGATATATAACCTTTGCATCAGGCCAGGTATTTGTTAAGCATTTCACCTAAAACAAGGCGGGAGTGCCACTAGCACGCAAGAGATTACAGAGGATTAAGAATAAGAGTAAAGAGGTGTGTTTAAGGAAAGGATATAGAGAAGGTCGGGGATCCGGATCAAGGCATCAGAAGATGTCGATTGACATTACATTTGAAGATTATAGCCCTCAGTGAAGCAAGTTGGGGGAAGAGAGTTTCACTGTTGGGAAGTGCGAGAGAAGAAGCTGTTGGAGTAGAAGAGACGGTTTTGACAGTGAAAGGGTGGGAACAAGATGTCAACCTAGTAGCACGCAGTTGGGGTACAAGTGAAAGTAGTTCGACCGAGCAGTTGCCATGAAAATATTTGTAGAAAAGACAAAGGGAAGTCACATAACCTCTGTGAGAAAGTGACAGTAGACGAGATGCCAGATCAGGACCTCTCAGATTGCATTTCCGTCTCTGGACGGCAGCAATATTCAATGCGCGGATATTATAATTATGCAAAATGGATTCTTGGGAGAAAAATTGTCTGGCACTTTACTTCGAACCATCGTTCCTAGCAGCAGAGCTAGCAATCAATTCAGTATAGGCATTCCACTTTAGAGGCAAACGTGAGCCCAATGACTTGCTTTCCAGGAGGTTAGCATCAGTCATGGTGATTGAAAGCAAAATGGTTCTCTATGATGATTAAAATATAGTAATTTCGTTTGGAACGCGTTAAAATTTAAATGCCATTTTTGTCACAGTTTACAGTTGATAGGCCATTTTCGAGAGCAGCTGCCAGTTTTATGTCGTCGGATCTATCGGACTTACTATTAAAACAAGATTAAATAGTTTCGCCATCGGCATAAATACAGAGTTGGCAACTGATTGGTTATTGATGGGGGATAAAAAAATGAAATGATCTAGAAGAGTGGCCATTCACTATTTGTTAAGAAGCATTACATTACGTCAAATATTCGAACAGACAAATTTCGGGCAGGCCAACATACCAAAAGCCTAGTCAATCGAAGCCACAGCCGCAGCCTCACCTTTTTTTTATCGAAAGTTTGATTAAAAAAAAAAAGTCAGTAACAAGCGTCACCACTCGACGGTTGAACTAGTGAAACGAAAGCCATATTGTTTATCTGAAGGAAGGTCGTGCGAAGTGAAGTACTTAACCAATTCGCAATTTATTAGAGACAATGTTACTTGACCAAAACGAGGTAAAAGGCCAGTAATACCAGTCAGAAGATTTACCAGAGTTCTTAATGACAAAAACTACGGAAGAGGATTTCCACGAAGCTGAAAATCAAGAAGCAGCAAGGCATTTGATGTAGAATTTGCAGAGAACAGGAGCCAGTTCAGGAGCACATTTCTAAAGGCGACCATCAAGCCCATACGCTGGGGATCTAATCTTGAGATGATGGCAGAAACCATTGATGGAGTTATATACATATCACACAGTAGGAGTCAAGAGTGCATTTTAAATATAATTTCCGAGGAAAGCATTATGCTTTACCAGCAACAGATGCCAATAATTCAAACTGAATGAAGAGAGGAATAATTAAGGATTTGCTCTTGTTCAACACAACTTACTGCCAGTAATCTTGATAACCGAATTTGTGAGAGGATATATGAAGTCTCATTCTATCAGGAGAAGCTTAAACTCATTATGAGCAGATAGAAAGAGGCGTCTGTTATGGTTAATATTCTCATGTTGGCAGAGTAAGAAGACGTGATTCATGTGGGCTATAGCGGCTGAACCAAGGAGACGAATACGGTTCCACTTATTGGCACGAAAACTTCGATGCTGGCTTTCACCTCAGAAGAAATCGCGGTGGCGCAATTTTCAGCTGGAAAGAAAATTATGAAACTAGTGACAGTCAGTAAATTGCTAACGTAAAGATGTGCTGTGAGTAGCGGGTTCTTGTTTAAGAGATGAACGGAGAGTAATATCTACAAACACGAGTAAAGCAGCGTGTCCCTCGGAATTACTGAGGAAACGAGCGGGGAAATCTTTTTTCGTGGGTGAGATTCGGCAATTCAATGTCTCGATGCGGG